CAGCTGCTAGGCTGCTTACCTAAGCAGGGTTTAGCCAACAGCTGGCTGATCCCTGCCAGGACCCTTTTGACCACAACAATAATTACTTATTAAAAGATATTAGATAATAAAGTCTTGAGTTATTTAAGAAGATATATTTTATATAGTAAAAGGTGACTTCTTTCTCTATATAAAAATATATAGAAAAAGAAGTATCTTTTTCCTCAATCAATTGGCTATTTCCTGAGTCAACGTACCCCCCGTGCTTGGTCTTCCAAGTGCAACCGAAACCAAGCACGGGGGACCGAGCCGGTCTCTAGGCCCCCTCAAGTAGGGTCAAGGGCGATAAGGCTCTTTATGAATTAGATATCAAATTAATCCCTCACTTACGGAGTTAATTCTGCCTTATTTTTATATCGCATATCATCACTAGGTTCGTGCGACTGGATATAAAACGCGGCCTATATCTTGGGGTTGTATATCCTGTTTCACATCCAGTTTGTCGTATCAGGACCCCAATCCTAACACGAGCTTAAATAGCTTACTTATTAATATTAGCTATCTATTACCCCTTATAAGGTTATATCTATCCTTATTATTATCCTAAGACTTAATTATAGTAAGGACTTAGGTGTTTTCCTATACTAGATTAGCTAATTTATATAATGATTAGCTTTAATTCTTCCCGATAATATTAGATTAAGCCCCCTTAAAGGCTTAGTAGGCAGCTTATACTATATATTTAATATTATTAATACTAGCTATATATATATAGATAATCTCTTTCTTAATACTATAAGTAGTAAGTAGCTAGAAGCTATTAAGTTATAAGGCTCTTATATAGGGTTAATAGAGTTGAATTATAGAGGGTCAGAGACTAACTAACAGCAACTAATAGTAGAAGTAATACTATAACCTAGAGGGTCTATTTACTATAACTTAGGCTTTCAACCGCTATAACTTAGCGAGTTTAAGGGCTAGGAACTTCAGGTTTCAACTAATAAGTGTATTTTCGAACTGTTAAGAGGTGTAGGTTATCTACTTTTCCTCTTATATATCTACCGGGCTTTATTTACCCCTAAACCCGCTATAGCAGCTTCCTGGGCTAACTTTGATTTTCCATAAAATTCATTAGTATAGGAAATCTAAAAAATCAACTTATAACCACCTAAACCTAAGACGAATATATATAACTTTTATAAGACCTACTTTTACCTGAAAGAGGCTTAAAAGATAAGTATTTAAGTATAAATAACTAATATCTTATCTCTTAAACTGAAAGAGTTATTCCAGTTCTAAAAGTTACTATAGGGTAAGTTAGTTATAGGGTAGTACAGGTCCCAGGTAACCTAATAGTCCTTTCCCAGGTTTCCTAGCTAACCCCTGGTGCTATAACTAGCCTAAAACAGCTAGCGGTTTATAAGAAGCTAGTTGCTAGACTTATCTCTTGTGTTGGTATCCCTTAAATCCAATAAATAGTAGGGAATATCTCTTTAGACAAGACTTAATAAACTTATTATTAATAAAGAGACCTAATAGCTACTAGTACTAGATCCCATTTAGTATTATAAGATCTATAAAGATAGTTATAGCTATTATATTATTCCTAGGTAGATTTAAATATCTAAAGGTTAATATAGTAAATTTAAGCTTAAAATCTAATTTAAAGTAGCTAGATAACTATTTATATAAGGCGTAGGATATTATTAGGCCCTTTAGAGGTAGGATATAGGAGCATAGGATTATATAGAGGATCTCGGGATTATTACTAAAGGGGCAGGGCTTCCTCGGATAGGTCAATAAGTCTCGACCTGTGGCACGTACTAGGTACTCATCTGCTCACTCGCAAGAGTGCCTGAACAGGCAACTGGTAAGGGACATGTCCTGAAAACACAGCTGAGGACATGGCGGGGAAAGCCGGCTTTCGCACTTGGTCCCGTATAGGAAACTCGACATTCCCGGCGGCTGATGTGGGCGTAGGTAGGGAGTGTTGAAATGAGCATGTTGTGTTGTATTGAAGAAGAAGAAAGGCTGGTGTTAACCACCGGAAACTATTGACAAGAAGACATCCACATCCTCGCCACCAATGGATCGGAATAGCCATTGATCCGTTAAACAATGGATCTCAACAGGGAGTACTCCCACAGCGAGACCTCGCACTGGCTCTTTTCTTGGAAGGTTTGATGGTCAAGGTGCCATTTGGATTTGCATTCGGGCTGCTTACTCAGGCTCTGTCACCAGTCAGCTGAGTGAGGCTTTCTGTCATAATGTTGGAAGAACTGAGAGTTCCCCCTTAACTTCAGGATCAAGATTAAAGTTTGAAGTCCTACGATTAAGGTTCAAAGTCCTAGATGGGATCATTCAAAGATATAAGGCCCCAAAGGGCCTCTCATTAAGATCATGGAAACTTAACTAAGAATAATTACAATTACGACAATAAGAACTACCTTTTGTCAAGTGCACTCAGCATCCCTGCGTGGCACAACAACAGACTACCGGGGTTTATCACCCGAAAGCTAGCTATAATAAGTATGTTCCAAATATTTACTATAATCTCACGAAGCACTTATATAGGTAGTGCCTTGTTTTAGTTCAGTGGATTATGCATGCTTATAGCTAATACATTCTCAGCTACTATAGATATGTAGATCCATGATAAGCTCGGTTAGTTATTCTAGTCTACGTTCTTAATCTCTCTCATTATTACCATAACTATTCTGCTGATATCAGTTAATTCTCTAGCTGCCGCCTTTGTCTTATTCTATGCTTCGTGGCCCTCGCGTATTCCTTCCAATGTCTACTCACCCGTATTCGCTGCCTATTTGAGTTCTATCTTAATATCGTTAAGAACCTATATCATACTTTCCGCCGCGATCTTCGATTCGGTTCTTGCTATCTATAGTGCGTCGCGTACGGTATCGAGGTCTGGGATACTATGGATCTTATTGACGAAGGATAGTGCGCCCATAACCATGACTTTGACCAGGCCTTGGGGAATGGGTTGCTCTCTCGCGCGTTCGATGCATAGGAGGGCGTCCCTGAGGTATTTACTGAGTTACGTGGCATGCTTGCGGAATTCGGCGGGCTAGGCCACCTCTTGGGGCTACGAGGTCGCCGTGATCTAAAAACGCACTGGGCGATGCGCTAGACTTCAGGCTATTCAATTGACCCGTCGGAGAGGCGTATGAGTGCTGTTTTGGGGTTGTTATTTTAAAATTCGTTCTCGCTGTTATGAAAAGTTTTTTGTACTCGCTTGTTGCACTCGCTTATGAAGCACCTTATTCCCTCCCATGTCAGCTCTAAATTTAGAGGCAATTTCTCCGTCAGAAGAGGTATGGGGTCACTAAGGGCCGCCAAGACCCACGGATTTGTGAGAGCTGGTCGGGATGCTACCGCACACCAGCAGGCGCTCACTCCCCGACAACCCCTTCTGTAGACAGATTGCCTATGTCTTGGGTAGCTATTACAAAACTCTTCAGCTACCAACACAACCTGAACACTTCGACTAATGGTTGACACATCATTAAACATAGCCTCACCACCGCTCAGCAAGACGACCCCGATCCTACTAATAACAATAACCAAGCATGGTGCGGCTTTACACAGTTAAGAAACCCCATTACCTACACGATGCGGCATTTTCTTGGAGCTAGTATGAAATCGACTGTTTTAGACGTTCTTGCAGTACTCTAAGGTATATGAAATAGCAGTTGAAGCCAGTGAGATATTATAGAAAGCGACGGCTTTGGCTCATGAGATGGCTGCGCCCGTGACCGAGACTGATGGATGTCTTTAACCTCATGGCCCTCACATGGTATTGTGATGTCGCTATAGGAAGGCCTTGTGATTCGGGGATTTCAGATGTATGACAGTTTCCGTTTGGGACATCGCAAAAGGAATCCCTTTCCCACCGTAACAACTTCAGTCATTCAGGGGGAGCATCCACGTAGTTCGCTTCGGTCAAACAGCAGCGCCTCCAGCGAGCTTCTTGGTGTTGAGCCTGCCCCAGGGTGAAAAGAAGCTCACGATAAAGGCGGCACTGATGCAGGCAATAGTAATGATGAAGGCCACATTCAGGCCGTCCATATACGCCTGGATGATGAGGGGCACGGTTTGCTCGTCAAAAACGCTGCGAATCTCTGTCGCGCCCGTTAACACTAGCTGTTGGCGGGAGACGTCTGGTGCCAACTTTGTGGCGCTCTTGAGCATAGTCTGTAGGAACCCTGCCTGGGCTGCTGCAACGAGGAATGCTCCCCCTACGGTCTGGAAGACTGTGAAGATTCTTGTTATTCACGGTTTCGAGAAATGAAGGATGTGGTACGGCAGTAGAAAAGGTAGCGCTTACATAATAGGATGGCGGTCGCGGAGGCGAGGTCGCCCTCACTCGTGGTGCCTTGAACAGAAATCATCGGAACTTGCATCCCAGCACCCCAGGCGAGTCCGGCAAGTACTTGATAGCCGATCCATTTGTCGCTCTTAATACCAATATCGAAGGTGTAGATGAGCCCAGCAGAAGCCACCGCCATCGCAGAAGATATGACCAAAATGGGGGTGTATATGCCGGTGGCGGTGATGAATGCGCCGGAGACAATCGTGGCAATGGTGACGCCGATAATCAGCGGTAGGTTCCTGACGCCGGAGGCCATAGGAGACGTACCGGCAACGGATTGGAAGAAGATAGGAAGGTAGTATATAAGGATAAAATAGGAACCTGCGAAAAAGAAAGCATAGATAGACGAGACGTAGAGTGTCCTTCCTTTAATGAGCCGGGGAGTAACCATTGATCTCTCGCCTAGCCAAATCTCGAGCAGAATGAAGGCAATAAGGATAAGACCGAAACCGACGAATAAGCCTATTACGGTTGATGACTCCCAGGGGTGCTCAACACCACCGTACTGAAGAGCCAGTAGGAAAGAGATGGTGGCACCCATAATGAGGGCAATACCGAGTGGGTCCATTTGGAGTAGCTTTTCTTTGAGTGTAGCATCTACTGGCACAGCCTGAGGCGGAGTTCGGAAAAAGACGACGACAATAGCCGCTGATAGTCCGCCGATTGGTAAGTTGATATAGAAGCACCATCTCCAAGACACATGGTCGGTAAAGGCACCGCCCAGAAGGGGTCCAGTGACGGCGGCGATACCATAAGCGGCCCCTATTATGCCGGTTAAGGCTGGTCTGCTAGATGGGCGAGCGCTGAATCCTATAATGGTGTATGCTCCAGAACCGATACCGGCTGCGCCGATGCCTGAGATGGCACGCCCGATAATAAGGGCGACGCTGCTGGGTGCGACGGCGCAGATGAGAGAGCCAACTTCGAATATGAAGATAGAGGCAAGGAAGCCGAGTTTCAGATTGAAGTATTTAAACACCTTGCCCCCTATTCGACAGAGTTAGCGCCAAGAGGATGCCGAGACAATGGAAAAGGAGTGGAAGAAATATAACAAGAATGAAATGACCGGAGAACCACTTACAAGTTGACTGAAAGGCGGCAACGCACATGAAGAAGGCTGAGCCGTACCAGGAGACCTCGTCGAGACGCTTGAACTCGTCCGTAATCTTAGGGATGGCGGTGGCAACGATGGTCATGTCAAGGGCCACGAGGAACGTGCCGAGGACCACAGCAACAACAATGAAGCCAAGAGCAATACCACCGGGATATTCGTTCTGCTCGTTGTTGTCTTCTTTCAGGGCTTCGCTGTTGTCTTTGTTGGCGGCTTCGACCTTCTCACTTGATGTGCCTAGCATCTGGGGGGCTTCATCGTCCACGTCCGTAGTTGATGTGTTATCAATCCTGGTTCTCTCCTCTACCACCATCGAAGGAACCGTTGAAGAGGCACGCTCTGGATCCTTTGTCGAGGGGGGGCTCAGGGACCCCATCTGGGATGCGGACATGCTGATGATGAAAAGGTCTGTGTGAGATCTTCTGGTTGCTTGAGATCCTTTCAAGATTATTGTGTCGTGAACCTCAGATAATCCGTTCGGGGGGAAGTATTCTTCGAATCTCGGTAGGTGAACAGTTGGGATGTGAATGCACAGGGAGAAGAACCGGATCTTGGGACGATTCTGAGTGACTTTATATATAACATGGCATCCCCCGACGCCCCCCCTCCGGGCCAATGACTTCATTTGGCATGGCAGCCACCTACGCTACCCATGCCCACCCATGCGGCTCTTCGACATGGAAGAAATTCAGCTTTCCACTAGGGCCTGTGGTTCGTCTGACTCATTTTTCGTATGGACGCCGGGATTTTCTGATCATGCAACATGGTGCTGCAAGAGCACACACAACAGTGAACCAGGATGGCTACCGAAGGAGTGTGGAGCGCCGTTGCAGCGGTGCCTGATGAAGGGCGTTCAGGGACTTCAAAATTACGTCTTGGGAGGCAATTAGTAAGCCAACCATGTTGCCACAAGCAATGGGAGGCTGAGCTCAGGTGCCGCGGATACCGCACGGATGAGCCGTGTAATATCCCGCCGTTTGGCAGTCGCGTTCCCAGTAAAGATCAAGGATTACCATAGGATCTCGAGAAATTCGGAGGCTCTAGCTCCTCCACTTTCCCGCTTTTTTAACCTCCAAACCGTCGAGTTACCATTGGTTAATTGGCTAATACAGAGTTTTGTGGCGACGCTACTCCGGAGAGTGTCCGAATTTCTCGAGATCCTACGGTACTTCTCTCGGGCAGTGTGGAGTTGAAAGGCTGCCGCACACACTTACGGATACTGCGTGAAATTCGCCATACAAGACCATGTTGTGAATTCACGCTAATGGTTCGACATCGTACTGGTCCCCTGTTTACTGTTGGGGTCAACATCTGACAGGAACAATCATCATCAATCTACCCGTTGGTTTATGTATCGCTAAGCCTCTAGGCTAACCAACCTAGCAAGCTAGGTTGGCCACAAAATTGTGAGATAGTAACAAAACCTGAGACAACATCACGATCTGCGGGATTATAGGTATTAGATTGATAGCACAGAAGTACCTTTGCTTCCCTAAAAAGAATTCCCCCAAACTCAGTCGCTTTTTCTTCGGTTAGCAATTCTCAATAGAAATTTGCGTCATCTTGATAGCTGTCGCGCATTTTTGTGACTGTCTCATAATTTTGTGGCCAACCTAGCTTGCTAGGTTGGCTCGCCTGTAGCACATGAGCCAACGGGTACTTCTGTACGGAGGCAGGGCCGGAAAGATGCTGTGAAGAGTCAGGAGTTGGACCCACTATAAATATTCCCTGGAGTGAACAGAATGACGTGTTTGCCAGGGTATTCAGACCTCCAGAGGCTTGGGGACCTTGTGTTCTTATCCCCACTTTCCTGTTTGGGTCCAAAAGCGAGATGCGTATCAGTTGCAATGTTGGCGCCGGCCCCTCCGTAGTGATTTAATTGGCCGTTTCCGGCGTTTAACTTGAAGTAGATTCTGATGTTGTGCTCCAATCCTTGCCAGAAAAAGTATAATCTTTCCCTAGCACCTTCGACAAGGACCCTGGCTCTCTAGCTCCTAGACTGTGACAAGGCTCCAGTAAGCACTATTTGAGGTATCAGCCCGCATTTTCCTTAGTAATAGTGTCAGTACAAGCAGTGACCCCAAAAGGCCATAGTCAAGGTGGCGTTGCGAGACTTGCAATATAGCCCTTTGTAACGCTAAAAAATGCCCGTACTTCTAGTACAAGCATCCTCTCCCTATAGAGTAGGTACCGTAATTTTGTGGCTTTTTTTCTATAATTTTATTGGTATTTTTCATCCATGCTACTTACTGGAGCCTTGTCACAGTCTCGGAGAGGATGAGACTTCTGGGGAAGGAATGGAGCCGGTCGTTGCAGGCCTGCTCTGAGCCTTCTGCGGCGAACAAGCGACGGGAGAGAGGCAATCGGTTGGAGCAACTGCAGTGAAGACCTTTCCCAAATGACATCAGTTCATTCTCGCAGAAGATAAAAGGGTGCTCCACCGCCCCTACCCTCCTTTCAGTCGTAGTTTTACCAATCCACTCCCCAGCATATGTGCTTGAAAGAAATTCGTTGACAAATTCACCGGTTGATTCCAAACCCATAGCAATGGCCTCCATGATTGTTGAACCAGCTGACATGAACAAAGACGATGTCTATAACCTCATTTATTAGCCCAACGTCCCGGGGCGCGGCGAACCCATTCGCCTTGCACTGGAGGAAGCGGGCGTAACGTACAGCGACACCGCTAGCTCCTCCACGGACCTGATCCGGTCCGAAATGTCTGACAAAAATATGGGTGACACTTTCAACCCCCCATATTCGCTCCACCTGTCCTCCGGCACGGTGGTCTGACCATCAATCAACTTTCCAACATTCTTTTCTATCTTGGACAACTTCATGGATTGGCCCCCCAGATCGGTGACAAAGACGGGCACGGAGCTTACCACGTCAATGAGCTCGCCCTCACCGCTCTTGACGGACTCAGCAACGAGGTTCACGAGACACACCATCCGATCGCCGTGGGACTGTATTACGAGGATCAGAAAGAGGAAGCCAAGAAGAGGGCCAAGGACTATAGGGAGAACCGGCTCCCTAAATTTTTGGGCTACTTTGAGAAGGTGTTGAATGGAGAGGCGAGTGGGGATGGACCGTGGTTGTACGGGGGCAAGTTGACTTATGCTGATTTGGTACTATTCAAGGTTGGTTACCTCCCCTTTCCCTTATTACTCGACCTCCCCATAGATGCAACGGAGGGTTGGCTGACCTCATCCTTGTTGCTAACGAATTTTCCCAGACACTTGACGGTGTCAAGTTCGCATTCCCAAAGGCGGTGAAGACCCTGCACGATAGCGGCAACTACAATCGCGTTTTCATTCTCTATGACGCTGTCAAAAAGAGGCCTAAGATCAAGCAGTATCTCGAAAGCAACAGAAGGCAGGCGTACTCCAACGGCATCTACCGGTATTACCCCGAGCTGGATAATGAGTAGGCGTCCAGCTCAGGCATTTTGGAAGCGCGGAGAGCAGTTTCCAATTGGAACATTGCTTGACCCCGAGTGTGTTTCCCCTCTGTTGTGTTCCAGGGAAGAGGATCATTTGCCTAATTCCCTAGAACTCTTCTTGTCCGTAAGCCTGCAAGCAAACAGTAACACTCCCCCCAGAACCCGGGATGGATCGAAGCTGGAATGAACCCACTGACACTACACAGGTAAAATTTGATGTCCGTCTAGTCTAGAGATTGAGTAAAATTCACTATCAGAGCGCCTAGATAGCTCGAATCGCCAGGAATGAGAATGTGTCAGTTTTGTATACACCGCAAGATCCGTGGATAATGATAAAGCTTACTGTTTGCGCTAATGTAAATACTGCGTACTATGTCTAACTCCATATATTTTCCGCTGACATGTTTAAACAATAACCCACCAAATAAAACACAGGCCAACGAGAAGAAGATGGCAACTGTCACTAGGTTGAACCTGTGCTTCGTCGAGTTAAAGCATGCAACGGATTGAGGCTAGCGAAGCGCCTCGGAAACAAGGTGTGGGCCTTGACACAGCTACAAGAGAAGAGATGAAAGGTTTCAGGTTTTCCTTACTAAAAGCGAGGGCCTGGAATTCGGAACTAGGCAATCATTCTCCTGAAGTTAGCTGTCGAGAGTCGCGGAAAGCTTTTTTTTTTTTTTTTTTGAATGCTCTACTATCTCATATGGAGATCATGGGATCAGAGAATGACGAGTTATTCAAAGAACCAATTTTTCCAAAACAAAGTAAAATTGGTACATATAATAGAGCGGTAAAATCGTAACTGAAGGGATCTTGGATTTCCAGCCGCTGATGTTTTCAACGCTGGCGAAGATGAGGGACGGCTCCCGGTGCGATGGGCTGACAGCGGGGATAACGGTGATGACGGCGGTGCAAAGAACGATGTTGATGAGCATGCCGATCGAGAAGCTTCTGGCCACATTGTCCTTGTTAATGTTGGTGATACAAGTCGAGATATTGAAGGCGATGCCGATCAGATAGGGGTGCCACTATTGCATAACGCCGCCCCGTACGATCGGACATCAGTCAAGGTGTCCATTAGGCCGAGGGGCCATGTCAGGCATGGCTATGAATGAAATTCACTAACCAGGGTGGGCAAGCTTGCACAAGCTAAGACCATATGGCCCATCAACACGGTGGCACCGGCAGAGGCCAGGATACCTCCAGAGAGGTTGCAGATTCCAGTGAAGTAGGCTAATACACGACCAAGCTCCGCGGGGGCCAGTTTGGTGGCCCAGTAGTACTGGCCACCAGCGTTAGGCATAGCGCTAACTAGCTCAGAGAGGGTAGTCACAAAGAAGATGTTGAAGATAGCGACGATGATAAAGCAGTAGACGAGGGACGCAGAGCCGCCGATGACGACGCCGGCCGAGAAGCCGCCGGTCAAGCCCAGCTAGGACGCAGTCACCATGAAGGCAACACCGACGAGCTGTAGAGTGCTCAGCTCCCTCTTCATCTGGGGCTTGTAGGCCATGGCTAGTCGACGTCAGGGGATGTAAGACTGGCAAAGCTCGGGCTGCGGCACGCACCTATGAGTTTGGCAGCGTCGGCTGAAACCTCCCTCTCCTCGCCCATGGTCACGGACTCCGTCTTTGTGATGCCGCGGGCCTGCATGTGGCCGTTTCTGGAGGGCTTGTCGCCACCTTCTAGATCCTTGCGGTCCATCTGGATGGTGATGGTTCAGTGACACGAATGGAGAGTGGATATACTAGTTACATTACCCTGGGGTTGTCGGCATCGGCATTCGGATCCTCCGACTTCCGACGTCTAGGGGGGTATATAGTAAAAAACACTATAATATTGCTATTTCACTCTACACTATAAATTTCAGGATTAGGAAACTAGTAATAATAAATATTATAGTAATCTATATATATTTTATTCTATAATTTTTAAGGTTTAAGAGATACTAAGTAATATACCAAATAAGAGTATTTTTTAATATTTAAATTTATAACTTTAACTAGTTATTCTAAACCTTTATAGGGGCCCTTCTTACTTAGCTTATCTAGGAAAGAGAGTAATTTTCTAGATAATAATTATTACTATTATTTATATATATTCTCTATCTCTTATTAAAGAGCTTACTTAGAGTCTCTAAATTACTATATATCTTATTAACTTCTTCTTCTTTAGACTTAATAGTATCCTTAGCTTTAATAGAGAGCTCTTATAGCTACTCTTTAATAATCTATATTTCCTCCTCTTTATTATTACTAATATTAGGAAGAGATTATATTAGTAGGAAGACTTTAAGGTTTATCTTTAATAGCTACTTCTTTTTTATTAATATAGCTTATTTATATTTATATAATATAAGAGGCTTTTTAATTTATATAAGCTCTTATATTATTATATAAAATTTAATAAATAATATAACTCTTTTCTCCTTAAATAACTAGCTATAGGCTATATATTTATTAAATAATATACTACTATTAAATTACTTAGGTTCTAAGGTAATATAAGTAAATATATCTACCTTAGCCCTTAAAGGCTTTACCTAGTTTATTCTAAATTATATAAGTATTTAATTAAAGTTATTAAAAGAGAAGAACTAGGAAATATAGCTATTAAGGAGGATATATTTATTAAGTTAATTAGTATTAAGCTATAGGATTATAGGGATATTGTTATACTCAGTCTGGCCACAACCAGGCTGGCGCCGTAGATAGGTTATTCGAAGTTGGCTACAGGGTAGCCGTAGTTGGATAGCTTGTAGTTGAAACCTAGGTTCACGATACCTTCACTTGTGTGTGAGATAATATGATTCTTAAGGCTTGAATTGCTTCTATCTACTGGCTGTTTCCAGCCCTTTTATAGGGGGCTCCGTGCAGCCCCTGTTCGTAGCATAACAGATATCTATATTATTTAGGAATTATTAATTAAGAGCTAAAGGTAGGGAAAGTAAGATAAACTAAGTAATATAGTCTTTATAACCTTAAAGAAGTAAAGCCTATTATTAATATATCCCTCTAAATAAAGAGGCTTAATCTATAACTATAGACTAAATAGACTTTAAAGAGGTAACTCTTTCTTAAAGGCTTATATTTAAGCTATAGCCTCTCTTATATATTAGCTTAAGGCCTTAAGCTATTTATTATATAATAAAGTTAGTATTAATAATCTTAATAATAGCAATAACCTATTAACCTAAGAGATAGGTATTTAATATAGAATAGTTAATTTAAGCCTTAATAAAGATAAGCCCCTCTAAGAAGAAAAACTCCTTTAAGATAAAGATAACTAATTATTTAGCTACTACTATAGAGTTATATTAATTACTTTAAGATTAAAGGCCTCTAACTAAGGTAGGTTATAGAAAAGGTAAAAATCTAAAAAGTTAAAGTATTTATAAATCTCTAAGTATAATATCTTTATTAAGTACTTTAAGTAGTAGCTAAGGATTAAGTTTATTAGATAAGGATAAAGAAGAGGCTTACTAATAAAATATAGTAAGAAATAAGGAGTTAAGTAGCTATAATACTAGAGGAGATATATTATTTTTATTATATTATAAAAGAGGGAAATTATAAGTAGCTATAAGGCTAGCTATAATAAAACTAGTAAATAGATTACTACTATATATACCTATTACTATAGGACTTATTCTATAGTAATTACTCTAAATCTTATTTAAAAATATTATAAGATATAGTATTTAATAGCTTTAAATCTACTTAATTTAGTATATAAATTTTAGGTTTATATTATTTAATATAGTATTATAAAAGTAGTTTAAAAATATAATAAGATTATAGTAATATATAGCTTTATTATATAGCTATATTATATAGTATTATATATAATCCCTAGGTTAAAGTTATATTATAATATATTAATATAATATATATAAATATTACTATTAATAATACTTCTAAATAACTATACTATTTATAATCTAAAAAAATTATAAGATATATTATTTTAAAGCTCTAGATCTTCTCTTTCTATATTTTAAATTTATTCTTAAATATCTTAAGAAATAATATTACTAAAGAAGTTAGAGTCTATAGTATAATTTTATTAAAGTAAGTACTTATATTCCTTTATACTACCTTTATAAATTAATATAAGATCTAATACTAACTATAGCCTTTCTTTATTATATACCTTAATAAGATTATATAGTAATAAGAACTCCTTAATAAATAGTTTTTTAGGATTATCTTATAGATTAATATAAGTATTAAATCCTATCTCTTTTAGCTTCTCTTAATACTAGTTTATTATAAATTTAGATAGAAGAGATTCTATATCTAAATCTATAAGAGGCTTATATATATTATTAATTAGCTATTAATCTAGAGCCTCCTTATTATTACTTAGAGGAATACCCTAATTAGGAGTATTTATTAAGTAATAAAGATCCTAAGGGATACTAAATATAATATAAGGGTAATTCTTTTAATTTTAAATATAGTAGTTATTCTATAGTATTATAATTAAGCTAATTTATTCTAAATTAGAGAACTATAAATAGTATATAGAGCTATTTAGTCTACCTTATTATCCTCCTTAAAAATTATATATCTAGCTAATTTATTAAAGAATATAATTTAGTAATCTAGAGTATCCTACTAAAGCTATTATTATTAAGACTTAATTTTGATATTCCTCTTACTAGGGCTATATATATAGTAGCTATTTAGATAATCTCCTTAAAAGTAATAATATTTAATTCTATTACTGTTGAGATTTACCCTATAGACTATAGGGTAGATCAGGTTACCCTATATCAGTTGATCAAGTAATCTGAGATTGGTATAGGGTAAGGAGGAATGAATAACTAACTTAGGGCTTTCCAAAGCTGGAAGCCCGCTGAAGCCACCGGCCCAACCCGCTGTGGCTGCCCGTTGGGGCAATTGCGTTAGCGGTCACAGCCGCTGTAAACAGCCGCTGTGGCGACCGTATTAGTGATCTCGTATCCGCTGTAGCGCTTGCATTAGCGGACCTCGTGTCCGCTGTACGAGAACCTTAGCACTTAGTTAGTGAACCTCGTAACTACTGTAGCAGCTGCATTAGCGGACCTCGTGTCCGCTGTAGCGCCTGTATTAGCGGTCTTATATCCCTCTGTACGAGAACCTTACAGCAGTTACGAGCCCGTATTACAGAAGGCAATGTGTTATCTTCAGGGCACTTAGAGCCCTGAAACACCTATAAGTACAGGGCTTCCTCCCTGCTAGATAGAGGTTCTTCAAGCCACCAATTCACTCTTTTATCTACCCTACAGTCTATCTTCTTTAACTTCTTATAGCTATTAAGAGATTATATAAAGTTAGACCTTAGTATATAGAAGTTATAGTAATATCTAAGTTATATATTATACTAGCTAATAACTTCCTTAGGAAAAATAGCTAAATAAGTAGAATAAAGCTAGTATTATAATATAAGAACCTTATCTTACTAATATATATAGATATAAAGAAGCTCTCTTTTAAGCCCTAAAATTATATTAGTTTTTTTAAGATTATTTTAAAGGAATTCTAATATATATTAAAGGCTAACTAATTACTCCTTCTTTATTTTAAGTTAATATATTAAGTACTCTTAAAAATAGACTTTCTAAATAAGAAAAGAATATATAATAAAGCCTTCTCTTTAGAGATTATAAAGAAGGGCTTAATTAAAGTATCTAAAAGTATAAAATAGATACTTAAGGTATTTAATAAGCTTATCTATAGCTACTAGAGTATAATATTATATATCTAAATACTACTCTTAAAGCTAGCTATAGAATATATATATTAATACTATTAGAAGATACTATTACTAAAGGTAATTATTAATATTAATATAAATAGTATTAATTATATTACCTTAAAGATATTACTCTAATATCTCTTTATAGTAAGAAGTTAAATTAGCTCTTAAGTCTAACTAATTAAGCCTAAGTTTAATTAAGTAATAATTAAGTATATAGATTATAATTAAGCTACTACTATTAGTAATAATTAATTTATTTAGGGAAAAAAGTATCTAATATCTAGTTCTATAGAGATTAAATTAATAGAAAATAAAATTTAAATATCTTATAAGATTATTATATTATTATATATTAAAGATAAGGCTCTAATTACAATATATTATTATAAGCGCTTTATAGGTAATGTGAGAGGGTAGTAGGGCCAAAATAGCAATATTGCAGTGTTTTTTGCTGCATACCGCCCTAACGTCGGCAGCGGCAGTTGCAAGGACTGCGCACTTCCGCTGACTAACATCAAATGATGTCCATCTGAGCTCTCTTTAACGGCATTTGGTATTACATGATGCAAGGCTTGTGAAAAATCTCATGCGGCGCATGAACCATTGCATGTCCCCGACGGAGAGCCGCTTAGTCACGTACAGCATTAATCCCATTCGTTGATAAGGAGAAGACCGAGAAGCTCATGCCGTTGCTCTCGGCCGTGTTCACCTCCCGCTCAGTCCAGCTTAGGCCAGCTCAGCCCAGCATGAACCTAGGATCTTCATCCGGAAGCCAGCCCTTATTATCCTACACCCGAAAGGCGACAGCGTCATGACCTTGTCGAGATTTGTATTTTGTACGATAACGGCTCGGCGGATCCCATCACAGCCCGACGGTGAAGGACCGGACTCCGGCATCATCAAGTACATAATGATCTCATTCCACCCCTTGTAGTTGTGTCTAGATTCCAACTCTCAACCACCGTCACCTTGACTCTCTATACAAGCCAGACAAAACCGTCGACACACATAAACGAAAATGTCATTCTTACCCCCGCGATCGCTCAACCGACGTCCCGCCCACTCCACGATCTGGGCTGGAAAATGGAAGCTCTACATCATCCCCATCATCATGAGCGGCTTCCTGCTGCAGATTCTCTTCCTCGGCAACATGTCATACCTCTACGGCGCTCTGTTCAACTCCAGCTCACGGATGCACAATCTCAAGGTCCTTGCCGTTGACTTTGACGGTGGTGATGTTGGCCGAGCGCTGTCGGGAGCTTACAGCAACCTGCAGTCCGACGAGTTTCCCACCGTTGAGTTTGCATCCCCATCAGAGTACCCGACTCCCGATTCACTCCGCAATGCCGTCTGCGAACATGGCTACTGGGGTGCGGTCTACACAAGCTCCGGCGCGACCGATCGAGTTCTGGCTGCTATCGAAGGCGATAACACGACGATTTACGATGCCAGCGAAGCCATGGCCTACATCTACAACGGTATTTACTATCCAGCTGTTGTAGCCTCAGTTCGAGGAAGCCTGCAGTCTCTTGTCGGCGTCACATCTAAGGTCTTCCCCCTTGTGTCGTCGGACGCCATGGCGGCAATTAATACGACCAACCTGGCATCGGCTGCCACCCTCCTCAACCCTATCGATGCGACCGCCTGGGACATCATGCCAACCACGCAGGGAGCCCGAGTCCTCCTCAATAGCGTCTCCCTGATAATGCCGATCCTTATGCAATTCTTCTTCATTATGGGTGTGAACGCTATCACCGCCAACGCCAAGGTCCTCGACATACAATCCAAACGCGATGTTTATATCTTCCGACTCTGCGCCAGCAAGCTATACAGCTTCGTTTCTTCTTTGTGCATAGTTGGTTATATCTGGGCCTTCCGCGAGAACTGGGGTGTTACGGCTGGACAGTTCTGTGAGACGTGGATGTGCCTCTGGCTCTACATGGACATCAACTACATGGTTATCGATACAATCATCGGAACCATCATTCCTATGTCATTTTTCGCCTACTTCCTCCTGACCTGGGTTATCTTTAATATCGCCACCGTTATCTACCCCTTTGACCTCACACCAGACTTCTACCACTGGGGATGGGGCTTGCCCGCACACAGTGTCTGGCTCCTGCTGGTCAGCATCTGGTCTAACGGCTGCCGTGCACAACTCGATGTGACACTCCCAGTTCTGTTTGCTTGGTGGTTCGTCGGCCATTTCACTAGCGCTTGGTCGGTCCGCAAGAGGTGCTTGATGGCTGAGGCCGAGAACGAGCAAGCTAATAATAACGATAAGTACATTCGGTCTAACAACGAGCAGATCCAGCAGTTTGTGCTTGAGACGGTCTCTTCGCGGGACTCGAGACAGGAAAACAACGATCGAACTTTGGACAACTACGATGTCGAGGCGAACCGCCTTGGCGTCAGTCACCCCGAGGGCAGTGATAGTCGAACTGTCATCGACGCGCCGGCGCCTTCACAGGATACTGATGTTGAAAAGAAGTAGACGCAATGGGCACGTTTGAAATTGGAGAAAGGAGTAATTGAGTGGCAATTAATCTGGCGTTTGCCGTACTTGGAAGGCACTGGTATAAGCTTGGGTCTATAGAAACGTATTAGGCTTGACACGCCGAACTATCGATATAGCACGCTCTGTCTAAAACGCTAATAAGACTTAAAAACAACTTGTAATTTTCATAACTTAAACGCGTGAAGAGAAGTCATTTATCTAGCTTCTACTTAAATAGTTAGGTTATTATTTAACAGGATCGACTGGTTCATGGGTAGATGTGACTGGTCTGAGATTCTTGTGTTTGATGTTAGGGGGAAAAGTACGGGAGATTAAGGCTGTCGACACAGAGGACCGGATGGCGTAATGACAATGCTGACCGCTCTTTAATATGGATTCACGAAATCTGTACCGTGTGACTCAGACTTAATATTCTGTTTGTAGTGCGTGACGGATGGAGCAGAATAATATAGAACCTGACTCTTCGGTTCACGCAGGTACCTCATACCAAATGCAGGTGGATCCCTTGTCTGGTGGAAAGCTCGGATTGGGGCCCAAATAAGAAAGTCGGAAAGACTTGGAAATACTTGTGGGGGCCTACGTTACCGAGACTCTCCACCGTGGAAACCGGGCCGAGGCTGGTAGGAAGGCGCATATCATTATAGATTGTTAATGCCATCGACGACGACAAGATATTAGTCAGGCCCCCTTAATTTGTTAATTATATCGCTGTAAGAAGGTTGCTAATAAAGCTAAAAGGTAGTCTCTCTCCTAGTGTTAGAGCCGAGTCGTTCTATAGGGGCCCAAGTAGGTTGAAAAAAACTTGGTATACCAAAACGTGATTTTCCCCTTAATATACCCCCTTTGTACTACCCTCAATACCTGGAAATCAATATAATATACCTAAAAAAGCCTGTATTCTCAGTGTATATGATTTTTTAAAGGCTAAAGGGCTTTCTTTTTATAAGAGCGATTTATTTAACTTCTTCTGGGTCTTTCAGTACAGTAGGTACTGGATCCTAGCTGCCGGGATTAGCTGTATATATTATAATAACCCTGACCTTCAGGAAATATATAGCTAGCGCTCGAAGCTCTTAGAAACAGACCTTAATAAGCTCGAGGATCTGTATAAGAGAGGGGGCTTTAAGGCTAAGAGTCTTCCTTGGACTAGTATAGCTATTAAAGCCGGTATTAAAGAAGAGGCTATAAGTTAAACTATTAGCTGTTACGCTGCTAGCTGCAGTCTTTATAAACAGCTTGCTGCAGAGGTTACCTTTATTATAGCTGTAAACTAAGGCCTTCAGGTTAACTGGGCTATTGCTACCCTCGAGGGTTAATCTAAGCCCCTAGACTGATATAATATTATCTTCTCAGATAAGTACTACTTCAGCTATAGTAACGAAGGCTGCTGTTATATCATGAGGAAAGATAGTATACAGTTAGAGCCTTCTAATATTTAAGAATATTAGGAGCCTGAAGAGGGAGATAAGAAGTAGCTTTACAGTTAGGCAGGTATTAGCTATAACTTTAAGAGTAATCTTATCTAGTATAACAGCGGTAATAGTAATAGTAAGATAACCTAAGCCTGCTATAAGGAACAGATTCTCAAGCCCTATATATTAAAGTAGCTGACAGAAGGCTATTTCTTTATCTTGGAGGAAGATAATAATAGTAGCTACAGACCGGACTAATCTAACCCTGTACAGGTATAGAAGGAGAAGTATAGTATTAAGAGCTATTTTAATTGCTCTTATAGCCCAGACCTCTTACTGATAGAGAACGCCTGGGTTATACTAAAGTAATATATTTAAAAATACCCTTATTAGGATCTAGATACCCTTTATAACCTTACTAATAAGGGCTAGGAGCAGCTTAAGATAGAGACTATTAATAGGTAGGTTAAGACTATACCTCAGTAGCTATAAGATATTATTAGAATAGAAGGGAAAATGACTAATTGGTAGATATAGCTATTAGCTGCCTGAATTAACTAGTAATTTGGCTGTGTATTGCGATAAGAGGTGTGTGTGGGGGCGATATGAGTTTTGTATGCTATGTTTTTTTCAACCCACTTGCGAGGGTACTCGTGAGGGTGCATGCTTCATGAAAGTCGCCCCAAGGTCGTTAAGTGAACGGGGGTGCAGACGGAGCGGGGCGGCGCTAATGGCCCGAGGCATAGGTCGCGAGTCAGCGTGCACTTTCGTTGGCCTATGACGCGTATTAATTGATATTTAGTTGGTGATTGCAAGTGCCGATCGCAATATTATCCCCAATGCGTTAATAATGTCACTGCTAATCTTGAACGCTATTCCGTTCAGCCCCACATGGCGTCCATTTGCAGCGACACAAGCATTGCTGGCAAGGTATATACGGTGTGTTAAAAGTGGGACAAGGATCACGGCCATCGTGAATGGATTCACAAGTATATGAGACCGACCTTCGTCATTCCTTAGAGAGAAGAAGCAGCTTTAACTCAATCTCTTCTGGCTACACCCAATGTTGCATTCTCTCAACATTCGAGACGGTGTGCTCGACTAACCACCAACCCCATCTCGCAGTTTCATGGATTACTCGTCCATATCAAGCACCATATCTTAGTTTCTCAACCCACCATCGTCAACTGAAGGACCTTGTCAATATGAATACTACCGCCATTCGTTCGGTCCGCTCATGGTTGGGCATCCCCTACGCCAAGGCAAAACGCTTCCGTCGGCCGGTCTTGCTCCCTTTCAACCCGGATCTGTCCTACAATTCGAAGGGGCCGGCGCCAGTGCAAGCAGGCAACACCGACTGGCTCGAGGCCGACAACGGACTGAGCGAGGACTGCCTGAACCTCAACATCTGGGCGCCCGAGCACGCAGGCAGAAACGAATTTCCCGTGATCGTTTACATCTTCGGGGGGGGGTTCGAAGTCGGTGCAAACACATCGACGACTTCCAACGCCTCGGGTCTGGCTGCGACTGGTCGCGCCGTCGGTGTGTCTCTGAACTACCGTCTCGGACCGTTCGGCTGGCTATCGCTGTCTCAGTACGACGGCGTGTTCGCAGAAGCGACCAACCTCGGCCTGCAGGACATCATCACGGCACTGCGATGGGTACAGGAGAATATCGCCCGTTTCGGCGGGGACCCGCAGCAAGTCACCGTCGTCGGCCACAGCGCTGGAGCGTACTCCACCATGGGGCTCATCGCAGCCCCGGCCGCCGACGGTCTGTATCGGCGCCTCGCCGCCTTCTCCGGCGGCGCATCCCGCATCATCCCGGCGTGGTGGGCTGAAGAGCTGGCGATCAAGGTACTCGCCGAACTGGGCATTGCCGATGAACCCCAACGGTTGCTGACTACAGACGCCACACTCCTCGCTGAGACACTCATCAAGGTCAGCCCGCGCGATATTGGCGACAAACACGGCATCGACAACACGACCATCGGTGTTGTGGACGACCATTCCCAGCCCAGAGCAGTTCTCACCGACACGCCGCAGCGTGTGCTCGCTTCCGGGCGTCGTCGAGACGTCGACATTCTCCTCAGCACTGCAACGAACGAGGCGGATTGGTGGGTCATCAATGCGACTGACAAGTTCGACCCAGGCAGCATCGACAACCTAGTCGATGAGCTTGTTACTAAGTCGCGCATCCCTCGAAGCCGTGCCCGGAACATCGTTGCCGCCTATAACGTCGACGGACGCACTCCAGTCGAGGTCCGCGGGGCTCTTCTCACCGACTACTTCTTCACCCTTCCAGCTGCGCGCGCAGCACTCGCGCATTCCGCCGCAGGCGGCAATGTCCATCTACTGAGCGTCGGCCCCGTCCAAGATTCGCCAGCCGTACACGGCACGGAGATGTACGGCATCGTCGGGCAGCAACGCCCCGGACGCAGTGAAGAGCAAGCCAGGCGGGACACATTCGTCCGCGACGTACTCCTGGACTTTGCAGGAGGCAATCATGACCGGCTTTGGAAACCGGTGGTTGGAGAACCTACGACGCACGGCATCGGTAACCCCCCGTACGACCCGACGATCCATGCGGCCGACGTTCTCCGAACTTTTGAAGGCATTGAACGGACATGAACTCCCGTAAGGGGCACGACTGAATGGGAAGCAGAAGACTGGTGTGAACATCGTGCAATCACTGTCCATGATACACAGACACTACATGGCTAATTTGTTACGAATTTCACTCCTACGCACGGATCACGTGTGGGACCCCACTTTTCCCAACCAATCAATCACGGATCATTAGAATCTCAAGATAATCCTCATAATCCAGGAATACGGATCATTGCCAAGTATTAAAACACACAGCCTGCAACAGCCGGCTTGTAGGGGTTATACAAGGAAGGTTGATTTAATTAAACGATCTGTACAGCCTCTGGGGGCTCCGGAGGGTTATTTCTAGTTATAGGTATAGTTATATAACCTAATTTGCTTCCTTAATATAAGAGATATATTTATAGCTTTTAACCTATAAATTATAGAGCTTATATTCTAATATACCCCCCTAGATTAAAGGGAGTAATTAATTAAATTATACTCTTAAGCTATATTTTAAGTTATATTTTTATTATATAAGTTAGAAATAGAGGTTTTAGACTATAAAGCCTACTTATTATACTATAAACAGAGACTATATAGAGCCCCCTATAAAAAAGCTATAAACAGCTAGTAGATAAAAAGAGAATAAGCCTTAAGAATTATATTATCTTATATATAAGTAAAGATATTATAAACCTAGGTTTTAACTATAAGCTATCTAACTATAGCTATCCTATAGCTAATAACTAAGAACCTATTAATAATACCTAAGCTAGTTATAGCTAGTTTTAAGTATAATAGATAGTAGTAATTCTCTATTATTATAAGACTTTAAATACTTAATTTAATAGCTTAAAAAAGAGTAATAAAAGAAATATCTAGCTAGATACTAGCTAGAGCTAGTTTAAGAAATAATTACTTTAGTATATTTAATATTTAATATATATACTTAGTTATTAACTTTCTTAAA